TGAAAATATTACCTATAAAGCCACAGAAGAACTGTTGTGCATCTCCTAATAAAACACAATAGGTGTTGGACTTGAAGCAGCACTGGCAGACCATTCTGTGTGTGACATCAAAGTACAGCGAGAGCGAGTAGACAGCATTTTTAAATGTTTTGTTTTGATGTCAAATAAGTCTTGCTGTTTTGCTTTTTTGTTAAATCAGTGTTGCTGTTGTAAAAGTTATACAGCTACAGTTGTTGCTGTGTTTTAAAGCAGGTTTGATTTTTTTTCTTCCTTATCACTCTGTATTTACAGGATTTCACTGTCCACTCTGTTCAAATGTGGATGAATGGCTATCAGTCTGTGTGCATTTAATTTAATACACGAGTTTCACAATTTGAGTTGAATTACTGAAATAAATTAACTTTTCCACGACATTCTAATTTATTGAGATGCACCTGTAATGGTTTCTATAGTATTTTGTCGCACTGCTCGCGTCCAATGTAAACACGGTACGCCTAGTTGTCTATTGTGGTAATTTGCAGGTCGTGTCAAAAAGTTGTTGGTTTAGATCAATAGCTGTATTCTGTACGTTTGACTCGTGTACGATACTTTTCTTCCAAATACGATAATTTTGAGCTTCTGGTACGATACTTGGACATTTCCAATCTGGCAACACTGCTTAGTCTATTTCTTACTGGAAGAACGTTTGTTCAAAGCCACAGTTCTGAAAACGTCCCGTTATCTGGGTAGCTGTTTTAAATTTAGTTTTAAAAATGAATAAATAAATAAAAGTGGTAGTTTACACATTTTGACATTGCACCCACTTCGTGAAATAACACGTGTTTATCTTTTCAACACACTCATGATTTTTACTGAGCTTTTGATCGACCCAAGTTCGTTTCCTCACGCATGTTTACACCTGAACTTATTGATTGAAATATATCCTCATAATGTAATCACCACACACAGTTGGAGCTCTCCGAGTGTTTACGGTCCGGTGACCTCCCGTTCTGATACACTCACCGCCCCCTCGGGACGTCTCATTGGACGAACTCGTTTATAGATACGAACTGAAGCCGCTGGAATCAGAGGCAGACAGCCAGCACAGACACAGACGCAATGGGACATTCGCGTTCCTTCACATGCGTTGCATCTCTTCTGATTGCACTGCACCAGACCTCTGGATTCTGGTTATTTAACGTTATCTTCCCTCCGACGGCCAAACCTCTCATCATAAATAATAGCACTCCTCCGCTTATCATCGGTAAGCAATCTTACGTTCATAGTTTGGATATTTAAGTTGAGAGTTTGTTTAATGTGTTTTCTATATTGGTTCATTAATTTAGTAGGAAAGAATATAAAATTATTACATAAGGCAGGTTAGAAAAGATAACAGATTGACCTCTCATGCACTTTTAGACCAGTTCTGTCTGTGATAACAAAATATGTATCTGGTTAATTACATAAATGTTTAATTTTTGACCCCTTTTTAACAGTACCTGGAAATCTGGGTAATCGCCTTGAGGCCAAAATAGACAAGCCCACACTGGTACACTGGATGTGTTACAAGAAAACCGAGGACTGGTTCCCTCTCTGGATTGACCTAAACATGTTCATGCCCATTGGAATTGACTGCTGGGTTGATAATATAAGGTAAACTCACTTTGAAAGCTTTAAACAAATCTTTGTAAATGTACAAATTACTGTCACTAAAACTGTAATGCCTCCTTGCTGAATAAAAGTATTCATTTCTTTTAAAACAACAAACTTAGTGTGTGTATGTGTTTATATATCACAATTTTTTATGCTTGGAATGTATACTACTCAATATTTAAACTTGTTTTGTCTCATGTGCGCAAATTCACAGAGCAACCCTTTCTGGGTACCTCTGATTTATTAACCTCTGTTTCCTAATAATCCTCAGTTCTGTATTTCAGGTCATTGACCTTTTGTCTATTGTTTTTGGAGGGTTCTCAGAGACTGATGTCATAAGTCAGGCCAGTGTATCATAATAATCAATATTTAGTCGCACTCTACTGTCCTAGCTAGGTTAAGTAAAACAACGTCAAATCAGGTTATCAGAAGCTCTGATATATTTGAACAAAAGCCTCCCTGCTTTTGTAACCTTGAAAGAAAACAATTTCTTGTTTTTCATTGGCTCAGACTTGATTGTAACATTTGTTTCTTTTGTGTAGAATTGTGTACAACAGGACAACTCGCAAGACTTCTAATGCACCTGGGGTGGAAGTAAGGGTCCCTGGATTTGGACAGACGCACCCTATAGAGTTTCTTGACTTAAACAAGCTGACAGGTGAGTATAACATCTCAAGTAATTGTGTTATCGGCAGCCATATCACCCTGTAGCCCAAGACTGGTTACCCACTGAAGCTAAGCAGGGCTGAGCCTGCGACAATGTAAAGCGCTTTGAGTGCTTAGAAAAGCGCCATATAAATGTAATGAATTATTATGAATTAATTAATTAATTAAGTAAGTAAATTAACTTCTCTCCTCACATCTGTATTTTTATTCTGATGTACATTTTTTGAAGGTTACTTTCATACCATGGTTCAACATTTGGTCAGCATTGGATATGTGCGAAATGAGACTGTCCGTGGTGCTCCGTATGATTGGAGAATCGCTCCAAGTAAGTGAAGTCACAGTGACAGGCAACAACAAATAGTTGACTGTACTCACTACATCAGGACTACTCTACAGTCCTGCAGAGTTCAGCTCCAACTCAAATCAAATATACATGACCATGAGAATCAAGGTCTTCAGGATTAAATGAAAATGACAGGCAGGTGTGTTTGATAAGGGTTGGAGCCAAACTGTGCAGGACAGTGACACTCCTGGACTGGAGTTGTACAGTACTACTCTACATAATTGACTTTACATATACTGTACATATTTATTGTGTTTTCATATACATTTATATAGTTATATTATATACAGTGGCGATTCAAAATCTAAATAAACATTTAAACCCACCCAATAGATTAAAATAGATAGATGCAAATTGAGGAAAAAATATATATTTAAAAAAATTAATTGTATTGAAGAAAAAAAAATTGTGCTGTCAAACGATTAATCGTGATTAATCGAATCCAAAATATAAGTGTGTTTACTGTGTATATTTAAAAAATATTTACATATATGTATATATATATATATATATATATATATATATTCAATTTGGGTTACGAGTCCGACTCTCTAACCATTAGGCCACGACTCCCCCCCCACGACTTCCCCCCTATACAGTAAAATAGTAATATTATGAAATACTATTAAAATTTAAAATAACTGTTTTCTATTTTAATATATTTTAAAATTAAATTTATTCATGTGATGTTAAATCTGAATATTCAGCAGCCATTACTCCAGTCTTCAATGTCTCATGATTAATATCATTAATATTGAAAACTGTGGAAACTATGATTTTTTTTTCTTCTGGATTTTCTGATGAATAGAAAGTAATATAGAAAGAATATTATATTATTAAGCAAATTCATTAAGTTCGATCCTTCCATTAGTAGCAATGTTTTTTAGTATCACTGATACAGTTGCAAAGGGGCAGAACATTTCCAGAAACTTTCCAAAAATGTAAATATTTTCTGAAAGTTAAAAAAAAATCCTGGAAAGTTTCCAAAAGAATCTCGAATTTTTCTAGAAATTTACTGAAAATGTTCTGCCTCTTTGCAACCCTAATCATTGATATACTATTATAGTTTGTGTTAAAGCAGCACTATGTAACTGTTGGCGCTCTAGCGGTTAATAAACAGAACTGCACACATCCCGCGGAAGAACATTCCAACCGGAGCTACTTCTCTAAGTTTATGTCTATGGCGATTCACGCAGGTATGTGTTACTCCGCAGCGGTGACGACCCGAACAGGCTACAATAGTCCAAATATAAGTACTTATTATAAGTGTACCGTAGTGATTCGGAATAAGACAAAAACGCGGTTTGGAAGATGAATTCATGATGTACTCGCTCATTATATACATTTTGCAAATTTTGAACACAGAAAAAGTTACAAGGTGCTGCTTTAACATTCTGGATTAAATTTTATTTATATTTTTTCTGTTGTAAATTGAATTTTATTTGAAGTTTTAATAATTTTGTTGTGTGTTTTAGTCTTTTTTTTATTAGTTTTTTTTTATTTATTTTACAAATTAATTTTTAATTGTTAACAATACTATCATTTTAACATAATTTAACATCTATGGAAAAATTTTAATGGAGTTTTGATCTTTATGCCATTTCAGGTGAAAACGATGGCATACCCTTCGTGTCCAATATAAAAATCCGCGAAGAGCAACGGATGACCACCACAAATCCGTGGATGATCCCTTCTGAAGAGGCATGGTCCAGAGATCACACCTTCATCTCCACCCCCTTTTTCAACTACACCAACCAGGACTATCAACAGTTCTTCAAAGACATCGACTTTGAGGATGGCTGGTATATGTGGGAGGACACCAAAAACCTCACAGCCGGTCTGCCCCCACCTGGCGTCGAGGTCTACTGCCTCTATGGGGTGGGCCTCCCTACACCTGTCACGTACGTGTATGACGAACAGTTTCCAAATGCTGATCCCATAGATATTATTTACGATGACGGCGACGACACCGTTGGCAGTCGCAGCATGAGTCTCTGTAAGCGCTGGATGGGGAAACAGGAACAAGCCGTGCATGTGACAGAGGTCAGAGGCATGGATCATTTGGACATGGTCTTTAATCACAAGGTTCTCACAGCAATCCAGAGAATTTTGGAGGGAAAGTACCATGAGAAAACGAGCGACAGCTCTGAAGATCCTCCATCTCTTAGCTTAGGTTTTGTATGACATTTTCCCAGAAAGTATGTCTTACACATCTCTTTGTATTAGTTTATATTAATAGGCATGATATAGTAATGTTTTGCTTTGTTACAGTGTATTATACAGAATTTATCAAATGTATTTAATCTGTACATTAAAGATTATACACTCTAAAAAATGCTGGGTTAAATATAACCCAGCACTGGGTTATATTTAACCCAGCATTTTTTAGAGTGTAGCCACCATAGCTCTTAAAGTGTGAAATGTACTAGATGTTTCTTGTTTTGTATAACATAGCATAACTTAAACTCTTTATGCTACCATAATATGTTAATTACATTTCATATATATATATATATATATATATAATGAACATATTTTTTAGGCTGTGACATTGTTAAACTACTAGTTTAACGTCTGCTTACAATAAAAACATAAATATGTTTATCCATATTAGTGGTGCATTAATGTGTCCATGTTTTTCATATGCCTATCTGTACACAGTACAGATAATATTTGCTGAACTCTGTAACCTTTGAACCAGTTTAGGAGTTCTAAGTATGATACACATCAACATTTTGCAAACAAATTAAAATACATTAGACAAAGGTTCAAGGTTCACGCAGAAGCAGGCAGTCATTTTGCCTGGAAATCTTTTCTTGATTGTTGTTGGGGGGGGGAAATTTATTGTTTCTCTTGAATTATAGATACTTTGGTGGTAATTCTTTTAATCAGTAACTCGTTTTGGTATTTTTTTCCTCCTTAAACCACATGATCTTTGAACATCATCCTCACATGGAGTGAAACAGTGCAACCTGCATGTGCGATATGACTAATTCTATGATCATCCCCTTAACCCGTGACTACATTCAAAATTGACTTCAAAATGCTTACTATACAATAAAACAATAAGAACACACATTTTCGTTAATATATATATATACATATGTGTCATTGTTCTGTTAGTAGCATGTTATTTTAGTATCATTGGTATACTATTATAATATTTTATTTTTGAATTAGATTTTATTTTTATATTACCGATTTTCATTTTAAAGTTTTAGTAATTTTGTTGCAAGTTTTTGTCCTTTTTATTAGACTTTTTGTTTTTCAAACTTGTCTGTGTATTATAGTTCTATACTTAAAATGTTTAGTTTTAAGTTTTAGTTTTAATTTATTTTTAGTTGATTTGGTACATCAACTTAAAATAAATGAAAAATGGTAACTAGCTGAAGTTGGAGTTTTTATTTGAGTTAATGTTTGTTGTTTCAATTAAAGTTTTTATTTATCTATTTATTTATTTTTAATGGTTTTAGTGGTAGTTTTAGTTAACAATACTCTGGTTGTAGCATAGTTACTGTTAACTAAAACTAAAACTATTATTGTCATTTAAGTTACTACTAAAATTACTAAAACTGAAATAAAATAATATAGAAATATTAAAAAAAACGAATAAAAATGTATAAAGCAGATAAAAACATGACGAAAACTTAACAGATAAAAATAACTGACAAGAAAACTGACAATATATAAATAAAAGAACATTCAAAATATTAATACGAACTATATAAGTATATAGATAATACTAATTTAGCATGGCTGGAATTGACCAGTTAGCATCAATGATCAGAACTACTGTTCTTTTTCTTTCAATAAAATAAATTTTACTCAAATTAATTGAGAAAGAGATTTCAATTATTTAATACAAACATTTAATACAATTCATATTATTCAGATAATCTATCAAAACAAAACAAAAAAATGTAATTCGGGCAATATCATTTTGTAAACTAATTTGCTACAGGTTTCCTAAAGAATAAATTAAGGTCTGTGAATTATCAAATATGAATTGATCATTATTATTTGAATATGTTTTTACGTTTTATTCTGAAACATAAATAACATACAGTCAGTCCTTAGCTGTAGTCCCTAATTAGCATCTTAGATATTCAAAGCACACAATGATTTCGAAGTTCACATCTGATGTATCTATGACTATGTGTAATTTATGCTGCAGAAAATAAAATCTCTGTTACATTAATTCTTGCAGCATTTTTTGCGATAATCGAACTGTCTCTCAAAGCTCCGCCCACCGACCCGATGTGCTCTCCCATTGTTTATTCGCGTCTAGTTGCTTCGCTGTGCTTATCACGCTGTCACTGTTCCTCAGACCCAGAAGGGACACTACTCCGGATCATTCCCAGACGACCTCACGATGGACAGATAAACACAGGGTGCGAACTACGGGGGAGCTAGGGGGAGCTCGGCTCCCCTTAATAAGACATGGGCTCCCCTGAAAACGGGATTTGTGAAATTTTGGGGGGTCTCAAAAATATTGACAATGTGTTATTTTGACGTGCAATTTCAGTTTTGTGTAATGTGATCATCGTGGATTATTATGTGTAAAATTGCAAAAATATCATTCATTCATGCATGACGGCGATTTAAACCTAATTCACTTCAATAAAGATAACTATACATGCTATTCTTGTCATGAGCATCAAGCTGTGAGGGCGCTGCGGTGCAAATTCCACTCATGTTTAGTACATGTTAACTCAAAGATTCTCATTATTATGACTTACAGAATTATATGTTTTCTCAACTGTGGCGGAAACGGGCTTCCATATGTGAGCCAGCAGAGGTGTGAGCCACTGAAAGAGATGCTTTCCTGCCATCGGTTGATCCTCGCGTCGCTCCAGCTGTGTTTGTTGTTGTTGGTGTCATTTACCGACAGCAGAAGTTTGAAATGCTCACAGGGGAAAGTGTGCCCGGACCGACCGCCTGTGGTTCTCAGTAAGTTCGTTTATTACAGCACATCCTCTTATGTTGAAATGTCCTGTTGCTTTTCTGTACTTGACACTAGTCACAGTGTGTTACTTGACTCATGATGAACTGTCATACGGGCTATTCAAAACCTACCTAGACAACATTTCCGCTGTTCAGGGAGGCAGCTCACTAGCTGCTCAAAAGTTGTGATGGCCAAAATGTTGTATAGATAGCGTTTGTATGAACATTAGGCGTTGAGATACAACCACTGTTACATGATGTACAGTAGTCTGTTTTAATCTCATATTCATGCACTTTATAGTATTATATGGGGTGTTTAATAGCTGAATGCGTTTATAACCGGATCTCATCTCTAGTGGCTTAACACATCTTGAAAGGTGTCGATAGTTTATTAACAGTTTAATTCACGTGACGAAACAGCTGCGAGCGTTAAGGCGATGAAATAATTTACTGTAACTATCGAATAAACCCAAACCCAGTCCACAGTAGCTATAAATGAATAAAACAACGTAAATCCATCATATAAGAGGCTATCGGTTTGTTTTCTGGCGTTTTCTTCTTTGAATCTGTTTATTTTCGCTTTGGCGGTTTCTCATATGACACGGTCATATGACCTGAGGAAAAAATAAAATGACTGATTTTTGTCACTGATTTCGCAGCCGGTGTTGTGTAATATTCGGATCCTGCCAGGGACGGACTGGGAGAAAAAAACGGCCCTGGATTTTATCCCAAATAGGCCCACCACAATTACAAACAGTCGCTACTATCTCACAATATTACAGCAATCCTATCGCATTTATGGCAAATAACATCACAAAACCCATGGTGACCCTGCTGACAAAAACAATAGAAACCATCACAGAAATTTGAATGAGTTCCACTACAAATACCATTACAACCATTACAAACCATCAACTTTTAACCATTAAAACCATTAAATAATGGTTTCCTGTAGTGTGTTTTGGGACATATTACATTAGGATTTAGTGGCTTTAACAAAAGCCATGAATAGAAGGTGACCAATTACCAGTAGAGACCAACAGGCGCCATTACAGTTTCCATTAAAACCAATACAATTTTCATTATAACCAGTAAAACCATTACAAATTATGTGATGCTTTCTATTTTTTTTCCAACAGAGGATTGAAATAACTATTTCTGTGTGAACTAAAATACTTGAAATCTACATAACAAGAGCAGAATGCAAAATGTATATGACAATAATTAACATAAACCTAGAATCTAGAAACCTGAAACAACAGAATTCTTTAATTTGAGTATTCATATGTCTTGATGCTTTCTATTTTTTTTTTCAACAGAGGATTAAAACAAATTTATTATTGTATGAATTAAAATACTTAAAATCTACATAAAAAGAGCAGAATGCAAAATGTATATGACAATGATAAACATAAACCTAGAATCTAGAAACCTGAAACAAGAGAATTCTTCAATTTGAGTATTCATATGTCTCTCTCTCTCTCTCTCTCTCTGTGTGTGTGTGCGTCATGTTAATCAGACTAATCACCTTATAGGCTACTTCATTTACTCTATTTTCTAACTCAATAGCTCTCAAATGTAACCCGTTGTAGAATCTCTGCTGTCTCTTTATGAATAAATGGAATATTCATGCCAGACATTGCGGAGTGATAAATAGCAGTGGACGCTCGGACCTGGGATTTTACTATAGTGCTATAGGCTACATGCTGTGTATAGTGAGAGAGGAGGACAAAGGTTTCTCTGATGTTTAGCTTCTCCCAACCGCCTTTATCTTCATTTCTTTTGCTTGCTATCACGAATATTCATTAGTTCCCTTGTTGTGGGCATGTCCTTGAAACAACGCACAAACGAATGGAACTGAAAATATTAGTGCACGCTCCTCAAATCGCTACTTGTTTAATGGATTATTTTGAACAGGTAATGAAGTGTCTTTATTTATGAAGGGGCTTTATTTTTAATAGTTTGATTTGATTAGCCTACCTAGCTGTCATTGGAGACTAGTACAGTTTGTATACAACTATGCCTGAAACAAACCACAAATGTATCTGTGGCCTAATAAAATTAGTGTGAGCATCCTGTGTCATTCTTTCTTTAATCATTTTTTTAAAGGGGTCCTATTATGCTTTTTCACTTTTTCAACTTGCCTTTAAAAAAATAACCAGTTTTTACCAGCCTCCACAGCCCCATCAGTATCTTTTTTTTTAATTATTCTGAATATCAGGTAAAATTATAATTAAAGTCACACTAAATGCCCATTTACTTCTGTCACATATTTTCTCCTATTACTACTACTACTATTATTATTATTATATTTTTTATCTATTATTATAGTTTTTTTTTTAAACACCAAAATCTTTCCACATAAGCCTGTTTGGGAATCACCAATCAAAGTACTAATAGATTAT